CTGTACTTTCTTCCTTGTTTCCTTTCTTGTTCTAGTTGCCACTGCTGTAATCTCTCTTCTTTTCTTTTCTCGTTCTTCTTGTTTCTTTTCTTTTTCCTCCAACAACTGCTGTAATCTCTCTTCTTGTTTCTTTTCTAAAGGAACAAAGACATGCTATGCACAGTAATAGCAAAAAACTTAATTTTAGAAAAAGATGCAAACATAAATTCAATAAATTCCCAAACAAAAAACAAGCTATATGTGAGAGCCTTCTGCTCCTGTTGCTTTCAAACTAAAACTAAACGATCCCTATTGAGGTCATTTGAAAATTAAGTGCAGATACATGTAGGGCTGATAAAACAAGGCATTTCTTTACAAAAAAAGAGGCATGGGGATTTGGAACAAACTGCCCAACAATGCTGTCGAAGTTGAGTCTCTGGGATTCTTCAAGAAATAGCTTGATAAGCAAGATGAGCTCAATGGCCTCCTCTAATTTGTAACTTTTCTTAAGTTATTATTTATTAATCCAGTCCATAACTGAAGTTATCCTTAGCTTTTTGGACTTTTCTGAACTGGCTGGTAACTCCCCCCAACACTTGATGAAGGTGACCTTGCTTGCTCAGTATTTCTTTACAGGATTCTCATTTGTAATTCTTGCAAATGCATCTGACAGAGTGAAAGAGGACTCCTCTATACAGATACTTTCTCTTGCATGTTTCTGTCACTACTTGTCCGAACTTCAGCACAGAATTCAGAACTACAGCCTTGTTTTCTGAAGGGTTTCTTGCTGAAAAAGTTTGGTCACTTAGCTGAATAATATGACACACAGTCTGTCTTTTTTATGGTGTTTATGAACAACTTTTTTGACACAGTGTCTATAATCTGAATAGTGGGTACAAACAATACAAAAACACTGTCTGAGAATGTCATTTTTCCATACCCACTGTCTGTATCGCCTATCTAAATAGTTTCTTTCTTAGCACCACTGCCAATGCCATTTATTTTTCACATATCTATCAATGAAGGCTGTATCATCTCCAAATTTCAAGAAAATCAGCATGATGAAATCTCCATTATAAAGCCACACAATGAACAATAATGTGGTTATAAAAAAGGGCAATAAATGATAATCAACAGAAACTGTTTGCCACCTAGTGTCATATTATAAAACTACAAAAAAGTTTGTATAGTTTATATGCACAGTAATACAAGAAACATCCAGCTTAATTTTTCACAGATGGAATTTCTAAGATGGAATATCATCTAAAGACAGAAAACTCACACTCCTGTGTAGAAATTGTGTACTAAATTTTGCACAAACATGTTAAGTATTATTAGTGTGAGAACAAAACAAAAATGGGTGACACAACCTCACCCCACCTGTTCAGATAGGGTTAATTTAAACATACAGATGTACAGGGAATACTGATCACATGAAGAAACTGTTACACAAAAGATTCACCACCACACCCTCCTCCTACAGCTGCATGTTTTTGCAATATAGTCATGGTAGTTTGTTAGGAGCTGTAGTTGTCAGGTTTTATGTATATATTTATGAGGCTGGATTCTTTTCAGTCGGTGTCTGTGACTTGTTGGCAATAGATTTCCACAATAAACAAACAGCATACAGTTCACTTGTTCTAAAATAATATATTAACAAGTCAAATGTATATACAAGTGTTTGTTACACTGTTGGTTATCAAAGTTGTATTCAGAGCTTTAAATAATTGTCTCTTTTGTTGTCAAAGCCCACACAGGCTGGTTCAATTATTTTAGAACACCCCTTTACAAGACAAATTATCATTCTCTACTCTGTTATCACATTACAATCTGTGATAGTTTCACTTCTAAATCACCAATATAAGTGTTGGTTACCACAGTTGTATCCAGAGTTTTAAATAATTGTCTCTTTTTCATAAAAATTCCACACAGGCTGGTTCAGTTACTTTAGAATACTGTTGCGTCAGCGAGTCACATGACCACGTGACGCAACGTTTCTAGAATTATCATGTACTTTGGCGAATGCTCTAGTATTTACTAGTAGGTTAGGCTGGTATATATATAAGAGGGGAAAACGTGACGCGGAAAGCATGGTAATGTGTGTGTAGATAGATAGTGAGTAATTGATCTGCGGTCGGAGTAGTATTGACGTTCGTTGCTATAGCGTTTGTTTA